AGTTTTTTTATCATCATGCAAGCTAGCAAAAATTTAGAGTTTTGCAAGTTTGTAAATTTTGCTAGATGTATAAGTTTAGCATTTTTGCTTCTTGAGATATGTAAGATAACACTTCTTTGTAGTGTTCAAGATAGCAAGTTCTACATTATGTAATCTAACAAATTAGAGATGTTCAAGAAAGTAATACTTGCTTCTTGAAATCTATAAGTTTTACAATATACAAGCTAGCAAATTTAAAGATATGCAAGTTGGCATATTTGCTTTTCTTTGCGATGTGCAAGATAGCATATTTTTGCATCTTCTTGAGATTTCAAGCAAGCAATTCTTGGTATTGTTCAAGCTAGCAATTTTTTCTCTTTTGAGAAATGTAATTTTTGCTTTCGTCTTGAATTGTGCAAGATAACAATTTTTTTGCTTTCTAGTATGTTTTGCTCCCCCTTTGTCATTATCAAAAAGAAGGGAAGACCCTTTACATCAATTTCTAAATCATGACAAAGATAAGTAATCATTCTTATTTGTGCATCATTATAGTGTCAATTTACAATATGCATAAATTCGATAACATTACATTTCATTTTTCATACACGATACCGAAAAATCAATCATCATTATGAGCATATCATACATGATACTAAAACATTAAAATTTTTAAGTATTTATCAACATTTTGATCATGATACCAAACATTCATCATTTAGAGCATTCATGATACAAAACATTAAATCAACATTTATAATTCATCATTTTAGCAACAATTCATAGCATTTTAAATCATGATTCACATCATATGCAATACATCACATCATAATTAAAAAGCACAAGTATTGCATGCATCATTGCAAATCATAAACGTTTGATAACATGATGGTATTAATTTGTCAAATTGCATCCTACCATGCATGATCATAACTTTACATTTGCATGAATCAAAATAATATCAAGAGTATTTCATGCATAATTTTATATCATCTCATTCATTTCATCTCATCAGGAGAAATTAATTGGGTGATGAATACAAAGAGTTATACAAAGAGAGAAAATCATGTCATGAAAGATGAGATCATGTGAAAACCAAAAGACATGATTCATTTTGACACATCTCCTCTTAAATAAATAAAGTAGAGAATTCTTAAGAGATCATGAAAAATCTTGATTCATATAAAAGATTTCATGTATTAAATCTCGAGAAATCAAGATCATATAAAAGATTTCGATAAAACCCATTAAATTCAACCCATCAAAATCAATTTCATGGGTTCAAGAGATTCATAAAGATGATATAAATAGACACATTAAACTCCTTTTTGAAAAAATCAATAAAGTCAAAAAAATAAATTTTTCAAGGAGAAGCCTTTCCACTTTTTAGTTGTTTTAATTCATGTGATTTATTTTATACATGTATATTATTTTATTTTATGCCAAATAAAAACATGCATCAACGTTTACGATCAAAAAATGAATTTTGCCATACAAACTTTCGTATGATAAAATCATTTCCGACTTAAAATCATTTTCAGAATCTTAACTTGAAAACGAGTTCGTAAAAGTATTGAAGGCAGTAAGCACTTAAAGATGTTTGCAGTAAAGATATGATGCTCAAAGTAAATGCAAATCGAGATTTTAGAGTGGTATGATCAATCGTGACCTACATCCACTTTTGGCTTTCTCTTCCGACGAGATCACCGACGTCCACTAGAGGTCTTCCTTCAATATTCGAAGACCAACTACTTCTTACACCCCTCTTCTCTTTTTCATGGGTTTAGGAGATAACCCTTACAAGCACTCACGCTCCTCTTATAGAATTCTAAACTTAGAGTGGTTGAGGGAATTTCTAAAGTGATTTCTATAACGTTTCTTTCCTTTTCTTTTGCTCTCTGTGCTTGTATGCTTTAACCAGGGATGAGAGGGGTATTTATAGGCTTTAAGTTGATTCAAACTTGGAGCCTAAAAATATCTCATCCCGAGTTCCCCGAGCACAGGCAGTACCACTGCATGCGTTGGGCGGTACCACCGTCCAATGTTAGTCTGGCTAACACTGACCTGGGTGGTATCACCGCCCAGGTCTAGTGGTACCACCGCTTGGGGGATAGTGTTGGGTGGTACCATCGCCCAAACTAGAGGTACCACCGCCTGGCACCCTGCTATGGGTGGTACAACTGCCTAGACTAGCAGTACCATTGCCTGACATAATCTCGAAGACTATGCCATGACGGTGAGACTCCTTGGGGCACTGTTTGGGCTTCTTATTGGGCCCAACACAGTTCTTGCATGGGCCTAGTTGGCCCGTAATTGGTTGGCCCAATCCAAGCCCAATTACGTGCTAATTACGATTCCTAAGACATATTCTAAGCTAAACTAAGTCCATAAGTCTATTCTTCCGGTGAGCTTCCGGCGATCTTCCGACGAACTTCTGACGATCTCTCGTTAATATTCCGGCGGACTCCCGGCAAACTCCTAGACTTGCGACAATCCTCTTGGCGAGTTCCGATGAGCTTCTCTAGCATGCTCCGAGACTTCTCGGTTGGTTCTTCCATAACTTCCGACGAACGTCTGGACTTTTGACGAACTCTCGAACTTCCAACGATGTCGTGTCTTTGACTCCGAGACTTCATTTTGCTTCATGCCTTGCTATCGTAGTTAATCTTGCAGATGTAAAAATACACTTCGATCTAGACAATTAATACTAAGCATTAATCAAGTTATCGGGCATGTCATTGGTCCCTCGACGCTTCATCCGATTCTTCGACGCATCGTCCTCTCTTGCGGCCTATTGCCCGATCGGGCAGTTGACTCTGCAACTCCAATATCCTTGACATAATGTCCACTCTTCATGGTTGGATGCCCGAATCCACGGCCCGAAGGCTTCTGTCGATACGCCGACCGATCCACCGGTCCGACGTCCAATCTTCTGATATGTTCTTCTCCAGCATAACTTGATTTTTCCTGCTTTAATTGTCTCATCCTGATCGAAGCATCCTGCATCACTCAACATGCAGATTAAATCATAAATAATTATTAATTGGTTTCATCATCAAAATACGAGATTCAACAATATTAATTTTAATATCTCATTATTTGATTTTGATTGTGATATCAAAATTTTTTATATGACAATAACAGAATTACAAATTATGCAAACAGCATTGTCATTACATTGTCTCAAGCTGAGCTTAGCTAGAAAATTTCATTGCAGGAAATGATTGAACAAAGGGAGCTTTCTGAACCTTTTGAACCCTGGAAGAACAAAGGAGCTTTCTGAACCGTTTCAACTCCGAATATAAATTCCAGGGTCGCATGTGAGCATTGACTGAAGAGCATATTCCCACAAGAGGAGAAGAGAGAGGTAGAGAGACGCTCATTGGATCCTCCTTTGTCTTCCAAGAAGGTTGGTTGTAGGTTTGCCTCAGCCTGTGTGCCCAGGATCAGCACCCTGAAAAAAATCCAATCACCTTGTGGCTCTCGGCATGCTCCTCGCTGTCGATTGGATCGAGATCATGTGCCCCATGCGCGATGCGCGCTGCAGCATGGAGGACTTCACTCTTGCTGAAAACTCAACCTTTAGGTTTTCCGCATGACTAACCGTCCTCATATTTCTACCTGTATTTGTCTGCAAGGTGTTACTTAAATACCTATCATATTATGAGTCACAGTTAAGCTTAGTACTATGTGTAACTCAACCCGCTGCATGCCAACAAAGTTAATACCTTGTGTCAGCTTCATCATCTCAGTGGGTATCTATCTTTATTTTAATGTTATTATTGATGTTCAGCGTTCTATGTAATGTATTATAATCACATAAGATATGTAAAAGTTTTTGTAAACAAGAAGAGGTGTTAGGTAGAGTCCAAAATATGGGACCACTGTTCTCTGCCATGCTTTGCTGTGACTGGTTGGGCAAGAAAAAACAAATCATTAATCATCTGCGAAATCTTAAACATGTCATGAGTTTGAGAACTCATGGATGATGTGAGAGAGGCGTGGTGGTGGCTTGTGTATGATGATAACTGTGGCTTACAGTTTGTTTTCTGATGTTTTCACTAATATTTTCGATGATTGTGTAGAGTATACATGTCCAAGAGGAGATTTATAGAACTTCTCATTTTGTTTTATCAAGGGATGACTTCAGAGAGAAAGAAAGAAGAAGATAGAAGCAAAAGTACAAAAATTTGCAGTGAAAAAAAAACCAGATTAATAGAACAAAAACTTTGGATTTGTGTATCGGAGACTCCCGCACAAGGCAAGTTTTGGGATCCCAAACCTTTCAGTAAGTTCAGCAAGATTCTTATTGTTTCCTGTGCCAGGGAATTGTTACAGTCAATGTGCTATCCTCATCCAGGTGGTTTGCAAGATTAATAACCCTTTGGAATTGTTCACTATTTTGCGTGGATAAGTGCAGCTTTAATATCTTTCCTTACCACTACTAACTAGGTTCTCCTAATTCTTCAACCAATATGAGAAAAGGTTGGATTTTGATTCAGTTCTTACTAATACTTAGATATTATGTGGGATGTCAATGAATGCCACATGCCTTATGTGCTGCAAGAAGAAGATAGAATGGATTTTTCCATGAATTGCTGACTATTTTCATCCTACATATTTCATCAATCATATCGCAAAAGACAAGTCATGCATTCACCTGATAACCAAACCCATTATGAACCTGAAAAATCTTTACAACTTTACACAGGCAGAAAAAAGAAGCAAAGAAATCTCTTATGGCAGAGTGAAATAATGCCTGGAGTTTTAGCACACTAATTAGCCTTCCCACTGTGATCTGGAGATTGTCTTCATATTATGACTCTTGTTTCCCGTTCTTTATAAGGCAGCCTATTCCTTGAAATCATTTTTATATGTCTACCAGTGTAAATAGTGCATGGCACATTTTTTTTGAAGTACGCAATATAATATGGTCTACGTTCCCCTCCTGGATGTGACTCTCTCTCTCTCTCTCTCTCTCTCTCTCTCTCTCCATCTCCAATATCCCTATTTAAATTGTTCAGATGCCCATCTCTTTCTCTCATGCACCTATCTTCCTCCTCTTTTCAACAACTTTCTGTGTTCTTCTCATTGTCCCTCCATTCACTACCTCTCCTCTTTCTGACTTGAATCACCCTAACAAAATCTATTTCCTCAAGCCTTGTATTTTGGGCTACCATCTTCCTGTATCTACAGCTTGCCTTGGATTCGACAGATGTCAAGCAGGAGGGCTCGATCACGGCAGTCGACGAGCTCGTCGAGGATCACAGATGAACAGATTAATGACCTGGTGTCTAAGTTGCAAGCTGTTCTCCCCGAGGCCCGCATCCGTGGCGCCGAGAGAGTAAGTACTCATATCACTTGCATGGTGAGATCAGGAACGGATCGTACGTTCGCTACTAAGATGGTTGTCTATCGATGCAGGTATCAGCAGCTAGGGTGCTGCAGGAGACCTGCAACTACATCCGAAGCTTACACCGGGAGGTGGATGACTTGAGCGAACGGCTCTCAGAATTGCTCGCCACCACGGAAGCCAGTAGCGCTCAGGCTGCCATCATTAGGAGCTTGCTCAAGTGATCCATTCATACATCCAGTTTAGGCTGATCATTTGCTCGAGTCCAAAGCTAGTGTTCTTTGGAGACGAAGAAATAAAGAAAGACTGCAATCCAGTTCTCCATCTTTCATGAACTCACGAGTTAATTTTTGCTAGAAATATTCGATCCATATCTGATCCATTTGTTGTCTTCAATGTCTTTCTTAAAATGGTTTACTTGTATCAGCGTTCTTGGAAGGCCAGCTTCTTTCTCTTAAAACGCCAAGTTTTATTGACTGCAACATGAAGTGGGAAACATAGCAAGAGTGGCTGTGGGTTGTGTTCTTTTGACGGTGGTGGGGAGAGAATCTACTATTTCAACGATCATAATTACCTTGTTTTTGCCCTCTTGTCACCAAAACTGGAGTAGCTTAAAGCAGTACACGATCTCAACATAAACAATCTTCTGTCTCGTTGAGTAATCTATCAACTGGAGTTGCTTTTGATAAAGTAAACCGCCATTATTATGGAAGAAACCAAAAGTTTTCAAGAATGAAGCTTGGCATGTGACATGAACATGTCGGGTTCTCTCTGGTGACTGTTTGAGCAAGATTCTAGCCATAGCCAGCTCAAGCTTAGAGGCTCATCATGCATTTGAAAGTACAAATGAGCATGATTTAACTCAAACATCATTATAAATCTTAAGAAGTTTATGTAGTTATTTGACTGTTTGGATTACAATAATCTGTACCAATTCTGGAAGTGCCATTTGAAACAGCAAAACCAGTACAACAATCATTTATCAAGCAGATAAAAACAATAATGTATTAGTTCGAATGCCACGATCGATGATGCAGAGTACAACTTTCGGGGATTTCTGGAAAGGTTATCGTTGTCGTTAGCTGTGACAAAAACTAATTCAAAACCACTAATCCATGTGGAAATGTTCATCCAGTTTGGAACCGTTCAAATGGACGAGTGGATGAGCATGGATAGTTTAATTTACGTAGGCTGTTACTTACGTGGGTGATTTATTCATTGTTTAAAAATTTTATTTGATCTTTTTCTACTATAAATATGTGTTCTTGGACTCATCCAACGAACTATATATTCAAAGTACTGCTCAACTTTTCGACTGTGTTCTATAGAAAATCAATAAATATGATATTAGAGTTCGGTTTGTTCTATAGAAAATCAATAAATATGATATCAGAGCTCGGTTTTGAAGCAAGACCAATTGAAGTATGTTGATTTGGGTGATTTATTCATTATTTAATTTTTTTTTACTATAAATTTGTTTTCTTGGACTCATCTAAGGAACTACCTATTTAAAGTACTTTTCAATTTTTCTACTATCTTCTTTCTTCCTGAAGTTCTATAGAAAGTCATTAAATATGGTATTAGAGCTCCATTTGTTCTAAAAAAATCAACAAATGTGACATTGGAGCTCGATTTTGAAGCAAGTCCAGTAGGAGTCTTTTGATTATTTTTTTTAAAAGAGAGACTACTAAATTCAAAAGGTTCAAAAAAAGAAAAGATGGATAGGTATTAGAGTAAGTGTTTTTAATCAACTTTTTCCTGTCTTCAAAAATAATAATTATCTTATTAAAAAAATTAAAATGAGAAGTTTATTTATTTCACAAAAACTCTTAAACTTGGCAGAAAATAATTTTCTTGAGTATGAAATGTAGGATCTCGTTATCACTTAAGATCAAAGAGATCAAATGAATGAGAACATACAGAAGGATACTAGAACCCTCTACATACTACAAGTAATAGATGAGACCCTATTTCCTTGATTCATATTGATATCAATACCAATGGATGTTTAAAAAATATGTTTAGATATACAGGTAAGATAAAAATTTTAAAACTTCAAATTCTTCGATATAAATTTGAAACTCTTACAATGAAAGATTTTGAGTTTATCACTATTTTTTTTAAATTCTCTAATATTATGAACCAAATGAGATCTTATGGTAAAAACCTAAAAGATTAAATAATAATAAAAAATGTTTAAAAAAGTTTGTCTCCAAAATTTAATATGATTTCTACTACTATAGAATAAGCTAAAAATATAAGCACATTTTCTATTGATAAATTAATGGGCTCAGTTTTAATTCATGAATAAAAGGTGAATAGATCTTCAAGTACAACATGTTCTTGAAATGAAGATATATTAGAAAAAAATTTAAAAATCAAATCTCAAGGTAGAGGTTAGAAAAAGACCATGGATAATCAATGTCACATCCACCAAGATTGGAATCCTAGAGATGTGAATTTATCTTAAATCAAAAATAATTTCAATGTCTACAATTCAAACCCAAGATTCAAGACATAAAATTTAAGGATACCAAAAGCATTCAATTCTCATTTACACATGCTATAAAATCTGTATAATTTGTAATCATTCAACACAAACTTGATAACTCTATAGAACCCAAAACAAACTTATAAATCATTAACAACTACTCATAAACTCACAAGATCAATTAAACACTACAATCATAAACCAAACATTTACCACAAGTTTACATCAACATAAAAACTTCATATTTAATATTCTAACTTTCAAAATATAAAAGGTATTTTAATCTTTACAGCAACACATACCGACTTTGATTTTTGGACAACAACACAAGCAAAGTGTCTTTTTATAGTAATATCTTGTTAAACTATTAAAAATTTATCACAAACTTCGAATATTCCATTGCCTCGGCATAAATATAACATAAGGGTGAGTGATAAGCTAACCTAAAAGTTTATATTAGCAATAAAATGAGCTAGTATGTAACTATCATATCTATGATATAAATATGACAAATAATATGACATAATAATCAAGGTACAAAGTATAGATTTAGGAGTCATATATCATTTCATTATAAGCATACTTAATAAGAGAGTAACGAGCAATATATAAGCAAATCAATATCAAAATCTAAGGCAATAAGCTCAAGAGTAGTCCTATTTGTCAATTCATTGGTTTCATTCTGACTAATAGAGCAAAGAGTATGAGTATATTAAGAATAATGTAAAGCATGAGCTCAAGTGTCATATTTAATATTTCATTAAATTCATTCGTATCAATAGTACATATAGCAACGATTTTTTAAAATATTTGTTCGTTGAAAACCAATCTCAGAAAGTGCTTGACTTTAGAGTTAAATGATCTAGCAATTAACTTAAAAAGTAATGGCAGTAATGAAAAGCAGAATAGAAATGAGCGTACCAGAATTTATAGTGGTTCGGTGGTTGTGACCTACATCCACTTTCGATTCCTACTCCGTCGAGGTCACCGACATCTATTAATGATCTTCTTTCAATAGGCGAAGACCAACCATCTTTTTACAGTGCTTTCTCCTTTTCATGAGTTTAGGAGATAACCCTTACAAGCCTCACACCTCTCTTAAATGATTACAACACTAGAAACGGAGGAGGAGAACTCTTTACACTTTTGCAATACTTTTACACACAAAGACTTTAATATTTTATTCACACTTTCGTACCCTTTCATATAGAAAAGGGTGGGGTATTTATAGGCCCCAATGGCTTCGAAATTGGAGCCAAAAAGTATCATATCCCCATATTTTGGGGAACTGGCGGTACCATCATCATTATTAGGTGGTACCACTGCCTGATACTTTGACACTAGGCGGTACGACCGCTTGGCAGAGCTCAAAGATTGAGCTCTAATGGTACCACAACCTGACAGGGTAGTACCATCGCTTGGCAGCATTAAATACCGATAGTACAATAGCCCAGTTTGTATGGTACCATCGCCTAGACCACTTGGGAGACTGAGTCTGCAGGCGGTGCCACTGCCGGCCATGACTTCAAGTGCTGAATGGGTTATTCAACTAGCCTAGTTCAGCCCTGTTAAGGGCCTAGTTACCCTTATTGAGTTAGTGAGATTACCTCTCAATCCTAACTCAACTTAAGATCTAACTATAATAATTAAAAAAATTAAACAGGCATTCTCTATCTGGTATGTCGATTGTTCTTTCGGCGATCTTGCGGCGAACTTCTCGGTGAACTTTCGACGAACTTCCGACGAACTCCCGAATAACTCTCAGCGAACTCTCAACGAGCTTCTGATAAGCTTCCAATACATCATCTGAATCTTTGACATATCGTCCGATCTTTGACTCCGGCCCAATATCTTCTTTATGCCTTACTGCTATTGTAGTTAATCCTGCACACTTATCTCAACATATAGATTAGATCAAATAATTTATCAATTGATTTTATCATCAAAATCTGAGATTCAACAATCTCCCCATTTTTTGATGTTAATAATCAATTGATGATAGAGTCAACCTTAACTCCCCATACTTGAGAAAAGATACTCTTGAATTCAAGGCCTTTGAATTCAAGCATCAAACTGATAAGTTATATTCATTTAAACTTATCAACATGCACATCATAATACTTATCATGATTTACCAATTCAAAATACGATACCACATATTTATTAATAAAAAATGATGTTAAGATTTGGCATCCATTTTCAAGTCCAATAATGATAGACAATCATCATTTTCAAGTATGATACGAATTTCAAATATGAAAATTATTAAGATGAAAATTCTTTGTAAAAGATAATAATTCATCATTCCGAGGCATGATATCGATTGTAAATAACAAATTAAGCTCATGATACCTTATCATAATGATAGACAATTATCATTCATGAAACATTTCAAGTATATACAATGTATATGAAATACATTTTGATATGTTTCAAGTATTTGTGATGTGTTGCGATGTATTTGACTATTCCAATTATATTTCAAGCATTTGCAAAATATTTAAGAATTTACGATAATATACATTTTATACATTTATCTCAAACATTCATAATAGCAATCTGTCATCAATTTGCCACATTTCTCCCCCTTTGTCATCAATAAAAAGGAGAACCATTCAACAATGCAAGTGTGGTAAACAAAATTAAGCAAGTTTCACACCAATTTATCCAAGCCATAAAAGAAGATAAGCAAAAACTTTACATGATAACCTTTTTAGATAAGATAATATTTTTACTCAAGAGCTTTTTGGTTCTTCTTTAGACGTACAAGTTCCTTTCTTCCTGTGTCATAAAAATAAGAAGTAGAGGAAGAAAGGTAAGGAAAGAATCCATTAAGAACCAAATTTATGAAATGATTTGAACCAAGTCATATTCAAAATAATAAATGAGTTTTATTAAATCATGCTTCAATTTTAACAAAGAGAAGGGATT